TAACTACAAAATGTTTAGTTTAGCCTACAAGCCCATGTGCAATGATGAACTACTCTAATTAATGAATATAGGATTTTATAGATTTCAATTTATGATTTAAAGGTAACTTCCCCACAGCAAATCATGTAAGACAGCAGCTACTGTTACTTGGCTAAGCTAGGCTTGTTAGCTTCTAGCCTAACTTATTTAACTGCTCTTACTTTTCCCCCCATAATGATGTTATTAGCTTATGTTTGTATTCTAATTAAAGTTTCTTAGTTTGAAAACACAAATATAATTTAAGAAAGATTTGGAAAAAGGTTGGTACCAGATATCTTTATCTAGTTAGTATGGATTCTGTTTTGTCTCTTTCTTTCGAATTAGTTTTTTGGAAGTTCTATGGTATGATTATTTTGTAACTGGTAAAACAGAAAGTCAGATTTTGGTCTTAATTCAATTTTGACCAAAGAAATGTGTTTGCTCTAGTCTAGACAATAGCCTAGCACTTTTCTAATGAGTATAACAAAAAAATGAAAAGTACTATTAATATGTATGATTGTAAATATGAATAAAACAGGAGAAACAAGATATTATTACAAATGGAAAATATGACACAAGCATTGACTCATTCATCCATCACCAGTATCTATCTGTCATTATACCAATATGCTTCCTTTTCCCTCATCTGACATGAACTGCTGAGTGTTCATCCTTAGTGCTGACTTGCCAGACGCCTTTGGCAAGCACTCAAAGAGCTCAGGTGCTGGCCCTCATGTTTATACAGGAGGCTGGTTCCTGCCTGAAGCCTCACGATTATTTGTCACTTAGAGGTGGAAATGGGAGGTTTAGGGCAGGGAAAGGTCAGACTCTCTGAGTGTACTTAGAAGTCATTTACAGGGCTGCTGGTGGACTTGACCTGCCAACTGACAGACTTTGGTGCTGATAATATGCTGTAGAAGTCAAAATAAGTGCTTATTGATTAGCAAGATGTGTACTACGACTATATAATAAAGTTTCAGTCTTTTTAAAGATAATGATATAACAATTTTTTTGGCTTCTATCTCAAGACAAGTTCTTGGCACTGCTCCAGTGCACAAACTAATGAACATCAAACCCCAGTGGAGACAAAAAGTTTGGTAGTGTGACACTGGGTGATGACATTTCTGGGGTGGTGGGGGGATTGGAAGAAATAACTTAAGCATAAATTGACTTTTATTTCAAATGTCTTTTGAACTTATTTAGGGTTGTTCTAGAGAAACCATGACTGCTGGCGCGCTTCATTTTGAGTTTAAGAAGTTAAAAGAGGAAGTGAGCGCACTGTGATATACTGCACAGACCAGGTCAATTCCTTACAATGCTGATCACAGAGTCTTGGAGTCTACTGTAGTCTCTTAGATACACAAACACATCATTATCTGTGCATAGCATTGTTGGCTATATTACAGAAAAGGCTTTTAAACACTTTCTGTCTCTAGTTTCCATTATTACCTTCATAGAGAGCTGCAGGGATAAGTGCTAAAATCGGAAGATGAGTACGCGGTTTACCATTTCAGGTTCCCTTGTCTCGAAGTCAACAGTATTTGATTAAATACTTACAATAAGATCTGTGCCCGCTGCAAACTGGTGCATAAATGAGACCACCAATCTCCCCAAACTTTAGCCGCCTTTAGCTTAGCGGTGGTCATGTGCAGCCATGCAGCAGTGATGAGTTCCCTTATAGCAGGGGTGGGGAACCTTTTTCCTCTCAAGGGCCATTTCAATTTTTTCAACATCCTCCGAGGGCCGTACAAATTATTGACATCTGCTTAAAAACAAAAATCACTGCCCATTCATTTAACTTTTTATTCATGCTGTGCAAAGAAAAAGCAACCTCTTAATCCAGATATTTTACCATGACTCGCGCATGCATGCACTTGCACGGTTGTGGCATGACCACCAAAACAGAAAGATATGGACATAAGATATGTGCAAATGTGTTTAGTTTTCTATCCATGTCGACATGATTTAAGTGGGGGGGGGCGGACCCAAACTCCTCTCGGGGGGTCCGGGGGCATGCTCCCCCGGGAAGATTTGTTTTTAAATATTGAAGTTAAAAGCATCAATCTGCTGCACTTTGAGAGCAACATTAGGAGATCTATGGATACATCTCTCAACACCCATATGAAACAGAACTGTAAGCAGATTTTTTTTTCTTTATGGATATTTTATAAATCACTCTCCTTTCAAACTGTATTCTTGTTTATTAATAACAACTTTGTTTTACTGTCATATAGTATTTTATACCTGTTCACTTTATTCTCTTATTTTTCTATAACTATAATGATCATATAAAGATGTGCCTTTACCTCACTGGTTGGAGAAAAAGCTTCTTATATTCGTTAGCATAGCTATCTAACCAGATGCTAATAACAACAAAGTTATTGACTGTATGATCAGGATGACAGATGAACAGATCGCCACTGGGCTTACAACTAAAGACGCAGCCACGCAAACACTGCGGCATGTGTCCGGCTCCTTATGGGTACTGCAATTTTTGGAAAACCCGAGCGACGATCTGGTGCTCTCCGTCAGAACTGCACCCCTATCAGACCAGACATTATGCCACGTGATGACACGTTGGACTCGTGTTGTGTTCAAGGACCCTGACCTTGCGTGTGTTTATAAATTACCTCGTACCAAATGGTCTCGCGGTCCATATAAGGCCCGGGGGCCGGAGGTTCCCCACCCCTGATCTAACATGTCATATTCCATTTAGACTCTTCTCAATGTTTGATCTGATATAAGGGAACAGATCATGATCCCTGCAGACTACACACACACACACACACACACACACACACACACACACACACACACACACACACACATACACACACACACACACATACACACACACAC